CAGTGCTTCACACTGAATGTTATCTCATCCCAGATGCACAGGTCGAGTCTAATACGAACAAAGTCCCTCGTGACCAGGATGACTCGGGGTCCTCCCCTATTTAACCCCCGTGACTTCCTGCAGACTGTCCCTACGGAATCTTCTCGCCCTGACTCTGAGTGACAGAAAGCTCTGGCGGTCATCCAGAACTCATAGAACCGCAGTTACATTCGTAACTCTCGTTCTATTTCGTTCTTTCTGACCACCAGAGGCAGTGCTTCACACTGGATGACTTATAACCAGGTCACGAGGAAGTCCTGTTTACCTCTAAGAAGTTGAGGGTCTCAACAGGACAGCTGTTTGAAAAGCATCCGATGCAGCCACATTAATCCTGTAATATCGGGAAAATGTGTTCGTAGATGACCATGTCACTTAGGGGGACACCTTTTAGTGCCGCCCAAAACGTTGAAATGCTATTAATGCTAATATAATGCTATTACATGTATGAATGCAAACTAAGCCTACACGCATTCAGCAGAGCATTTAGTACAATCGCCGATAGATACACACAGATACCGAACAGAGCACACCCACTCTTAATGCGGTCTCGTACAGCTGTGAGATACTATAATACTATCCGGTAGCACCACAGAGTGAAAATACTCTATCTAGCCACCAAACAATTCTGGGGAAAATGAAAACGAACCCCGAGCATAAATGTACCAAACTCACCACACTGTATTGTGATTAATTCAACTGAATCGCGAAACACCAACAGCTGATCTGTTGGGAAGCTGAAAAAAGACTCCAAGTGTCTTCCTTTAAAGGGGACATATGATGCGATTTCAAGTTTTCCTTTCTCTTTGGAGTGTTACAAGCTGATTGTGGATAGATAAGATCCCTGAAGTTGCAAAGATTAAAGTCTCAAAACCAAAGAGATATTATCAAATTTAAGACTCTGCCACGCCCCCCTAAAAAGGCTCGTTCTAACACGCCCCCACATATCTACCTCACTATGTGGCAATATTAGTATAATGCCGCCAAAATGTGCACGCAAAGAAAGAAGGCGTGGTTTCAGTAACCGCAGTTAGTGTTGAAGCAGCCATGTCAGGGAGACGCTGTGTGTTTCTAGGCGAAAGCAAAAGCACTTTATTTGGCCTTCCGAAAGTAGATGCATTTAGGAATCTTTAAGATTACTTACAACAGAACAGCAATAGATTTTATGGACGACCGTTTCGTGAACCTAGGAGAGGAGGTAATTCTGACTTTGCTATGACAATCTGGCGC